AAACTAGAACTACCATATGATCCAGCAATCCCACTTCTGGATATATATCCAAAGGAGATGGAATCAGTATGCTAAAGAGATTATCTGCACTCCCAAGTTCTATTGCAGTACAATTCCCAATAGCTAAGATATGGAATCGACTTAGGTATCTTTCAATAAATGAACAGACAAAAAAGTGTGGTGTATATATACACACACTAGGGAATACTGTTCAGCCAGTTCAGCCATAAAAAAGAATGAAATCCTGCCATCTGTGACAATATGGATGAACCTAGAGGACCATTGTTAAGTGAAATAAACCAAGCGCAGAAGGACAAATAACACATGATCTAACTGATACATGGATCGAAAAAAACTTATTTCACAGAAGTATAGAGTAGAATAGTGGTTACCAGAGGCTGGGGAAGGTAGCAAGGAAGAATGGGGAGAGGTTGGTGAACATATTCAAAGTTACGGTGGGCAGGAGAAATACATTCTGCCCACTACACAGTAGTGGTGTTTACTGCACAGTAGGGTCACTAAAGTTAACATGATGTCTTATATATTTCAAAATAGCTAGAAAAGAGAATCTTTAATATCCTCATCACAAAGAGATGATAAATGTTTGAGGTGATGGATGTGCTAATTGCCCTCATTTGATCATTACAAACTATATACATATATCAAAACATCATATCATAAATATGTAAAATTACGATTTGTCAATTAAAAACAAAACTTTAAAAAGGTTGAGTTTATCAATCCTATCTCTGCCAAGCAGTGCAATCTTGGGCCAATTACTTATCCTCTCTACACCTCAGTTTTCTCCTTTGGGAGATAGGAATAATAATAATTTGAGATTGCTTTGAGATTTAAATGAGATGAAACAGGTCAATTGCTCAACATGGATCCTGACACATAGTAAAGTAATAGGTAATACATCATTAATACTTATTAATGATGTTATTACTATTAATATTAATTTTTTTTGAGATGGCATCTCGCTCTGTTGTCCAGGCTGGAGTGCAGTGGTACGGTCTCAGCTCACTACAACCTCCACCTCCTGGGTTCAAGTAATTCTTCTGCCTCAGCCTCCCAAGTAGCTGGGACTACAGGTGTGTGCCACCACGCCTGACTAATTTTTGTATTTTTGTTACAGACAGGGTTTCACCATATTCGCCAGGCCGATCTAGAACTCCTGACCTCAGGTGATCTATCCACCTCAGCCTCCCAAAGTTCTGGGATTACAGGTGTGAGCCACCACATCCGGCAAATATTACTATTATTTTCCTACTAGTTTTGAGAGTCTAGGCAAGTTTCCAACCATGCTGAGAGCTTCAGCTTGTTCTGGGGACCAACTTATCATCATGATCATCATCATCATCACCACCATCATCTTCATTACCATGGACATCAGCATCTCAGTGGTTTCTGGACTTTTAAGTGATTGCATTTTAGCTGAAAGAAAGGGAGTTAAGATGCTTCTATGCTTAAAAAAATCAATGTAAATGTTTGCAACTATATAAAAATTGTATTATGTACACAGGAAAGGACTGAAAAAAGCAGGGAAGAATAGACATTGATTTGTTTGGGTGTTCAGCATGTGGATGGAGTTTTAAACTTTTCTTTGATTTCTACTAACATAGCTGTATGTAATAATAATGCTTTAAATAGGTTGATTATATACAAATTATAATGAATCTCCATACACCTATCACCTACCTTCCCTACAAACAATTTATTTTATAATCATGAAGGAAAATTCAAGTCAGCACTCTGACCAAATATAATAACTTTCATGAATAAATGAGGCAATAAAAATGACCTAGAACATGCAGGTGAGGAGTAGGAAACAGAAAATAAAAAGATTTGGCTCCACTGGAAACGTCCAGCTGGCTCCAAATAACCAGAATCCGGGTGTGCTCACACCACATCATTCCTTCTATTCATTCAACAAGCATTTACAAAGCCTTTGTTGTACACGAGGACAGGCGTGAGGTCCTGTGCAAAACAAGAACGCTACTGGGGGAATAAAGGAAATGAAGACCAAGTCCTTCTTCTTGCTGATTTCCTACTCTAAATCTAACCAAAGTATTTTAGTGCAGGGTTATATTAAATACATGCTATAACAGAAGCATGTCCAAGTTGTGATAGGAACGGACCAAAGAAGGGAGACGCTCTGCTGGGGATGGGAACAGTACCAGATTCAGAGGAGGTGATGGCGCAGTGGCACACACCTGTAATCCCAGCACTTGGAGGAGGCTGAGGTGGGCGGATCACCTGAGGTCAGGAGTCCGAGACCAGCCTGGCCAACAAGGTGAAACTCCGTCTCTACTAAAAATGCAAAAATTAGGTGGGTGTGGCGGTGGGCGCCTGTAATCCCGCCTACTTGGGAGGCTGAGGCAGGAGAATCATTTGAACCAGGAGGCAGAGGTAGCAGTGAACTGAGATCGCACCATTGCACACCAGCCTGGGTGACAAGAGCAAAACTCCATCTCAAAAAATATATATATTCAGAGGACGCATAAGTGGGGGTTAGAAGGCCAAGGAGAAGCAGAGGGCTGAGCCTGGCAAGCCGAGTGGCCAGGAGGAGCAGAGATGATGGAGGGAGCCTTGAAGACCACAAGCACCCGGGGAAGCCTGGAGGGTGGGATGCAAACAGGTGAGAGGAGAGGCAGCAGAGCCGGCAGGAAAGAGTGGAGGCGCTGAATGTCACAGACGAGAAATGAAAAACTCACTCCAGCCGTGTTGCTGTTCTCAGAATAATCTTGAAAGTGTTCTCCGAGGCCGGGCGCGGTGGCTCAAGCCTGTAATCCCAGCACTTTGGGAGGCCGAGGCGGGTGGATCACGAGGTCAAGAGATCAAGACCATCCTGGTCAACATGGTGAAACTCTGTCTCTACTAAAAATACAAAAAATTAGCTGGGCATGGTGGCACGTGCCTG